TTACTACTTCTTTCCCTAGGTGAATAAAATTGAAAATAAAATCTAAGTTTTAGGGTGAGGCTTTATGAACTTCTTATATCTCTGTCATAAAGATTCCCCTCATTTTTCTAGGAGGAGAGGGTATGTGTTATGTGGTCTGACTTTTGTTTTTCCCCAAAATCCATGTGTTGAAATCCTAACACTCAAGGTGATGGTATTGCGGGGAGGGCTTTTGGGAGATGATTAGGGCGTGAGGGTGGAGACCTGATGAATGCAATTAGTGTCCATATACAAGAGCTTGGAGGAAGCACTTCACCCCTTCTATCGTGTGAGGACTCTGTGAGAAGGTGCCCTCTATGAACCAGGAGGTAGGCTCTCACCAGACACCACATCTGCTGGCACCTACATCCTGGACTTTCCAGACTCTGGAACTGTGAGGAATAAATTTCTGTTGTTCATAAGCCACCCAGTTTATGGGATTTTTTTTTTGTTGTTGTTGTTGTTACAGCAAATGGATGAAGACAGTATGGGATCCTCATTTCTTGTCTTCCCCCCCAAAGAGAGATTGACCTGATTGGAAAGATCAAGAGAAGGAAGAGGGCATGCTGAGCTCAGCTTGCTTCTCTCTACCAAGCCCATCATGTTGCTCTCCAAATTCCGTGCCTCCTCTAGGAAGGCAAGGAAATGGCACCAATATCCACCCACTTGCCCAGGTCCCAGACCTAATCGTGTCCCCGATTCCGCTCTCTTCCTCATTCACTACTTTGAATTATACGTAAATTGTGTCATCTCTTTCTCCAAAAAGACATCCCACATCCGTCCACCTCCCTCCACCTTCACTTTCCCCTGGTCCAAGGACTTTCTTGCCATCATCTCTCACCTAGACCTCTGCCGTTAGCTCCACTCTTGTCTCCTGCAATCCTTTACACAGCAGTCAGGATGATACTGTTCAAACATAAATCAGATTACAATACCCTGTTGCTCAAAAATGGCAATGGCTTTTCATTGCACAGAATAAAATCCAAATTCCTAACCACGGATAAGGCTGTTTGTAATTTTGCTTCTGGCCACATCTCCTACCTCTTTTCCTTCTTGTCTTCCCCTGCTCACCCTTAATATTCTTTGAATACTTCTTAAATGGCAAGATGATTTTGTCTCAGGCTCTTTGTATTTTCTGTTGCTTCTGCTAAAATGCTTCTAACCATCTCTTCTCCTGAAAACTTGGCATGGTTCATCCCCTCTCTACATCTGGGCTTCTGTGAAAATGTGACTTCCTGAGTATGGCCTTCCCTGACTCCATCTAACAGTGAACCTTTCTCCCTACTCCTACCTCTGTCATTCTCTAACCCTTCTTATCCTGTGTAGTTTATATTTGTAGCAGCATCTTACATGTTTAATGGACTGTGTCTGTCTCCTTCGTTAGATACATGCACCATGAGTTTTGTTCACAGTCTTAGTGCCTGGAGCAGCCAGCTACATAGTAGATCTCAATACATATTCCTTGAATGAAAGGAAGAACCAAGCACGTGCAAGCTCCATTCCTTTCCCCCTGCCCATTTCCTTTTTCAGAACGTCCTATTCTCAGAATGCACGCAAGCTTCACTCCTATACGGGTAAGCTGACAGGTAGTCAGCTTATTATTATTATCTTATTATTAGTTATCTTTTTCCTGCCAAGTTCTACCAGGGAGCAAATAGTCATGTGCTAGGTCTCAACTTAAATGTGAACTCTTTAGGGGTGTCTTCCTTGGCTACTGTATCCAAAGGAGATCACCTTCAATGAAGTTGTTCTCTTTCAGCATCCTTTGGTTTCTTTCTTCATAGGGTTTATCTTTTATTTACGTCTTACTCTAGCCCCTGCTACAATTGCAGAACTTCCTTGGGCCAAGAGCCTTGCCAGACTCTTGGAGATATGACATGGTCACTGTACGCAAATAGCCTTCACTCTAGTTGGAAAGCTGAGGAAGCAGAACAGACAGACATCGTTCTGTCTGCCACGGAATTCTAAACTGTAGAATACGAGGCTGGGGACGTTTTTTGGGGTTGTTACTTATACCAGCGAAGCTAAATTCACTTGCAGTGGAAAGACATGACCCTTCCAAAGACTTACTATGTAATCTGTTTCCTTACCTATAGTATAAAGATACCAGTAACACCCACCCTTTCAGAATAAGGGTGAAATGAAACTGTATCTACCTATAAAGTGCTGTCAAGATGTAAGATACGTGCTAACTTACAATGCTTGGTGTTGAAAACCAAAAATGCTTGCAACTTCAAACCTAAGACCATTTGATTCCTCCCCTTTCTGTTATTGGCGCTGATAGGTTGGTATGTACTGCAGCAGATTCTCATGGCTGTAAGCCAGTTGGTTATGAGGGCAAGTGGTGCACAGGTTTTTTTCTTTCCTTTCCCACCAGCACTTGTCCCGTAGCTTGCCCTAGCATGTTGGACAGCTGGCCCAACTGTGTCCCTTGGCAGAGCCAGATGTCCCAGGCAGAGCCAATAGAACAACAAGACTGAGACCCAATATGGTGCATGCTGTTCTGGAGAGCACACAGATTGATCAAATCCAGCAAATCACCCAACCTGGATGCAAGATTTTCCAGAAAAATGATTGGAGAGGTCAGGGAGCATTGTTAGGCAATTCAGCATCTAAATGGTCGCATCAGTGAGAACTCTAGTCAGATAGAAATCAAGTTTTCATTCCAGTTTGGCAAATACTTTGTGTGTGCTCCAGGCCAGGCCCTCTTGTAAGAACTGGAGTACAGTAAAGAAAAGAGGCTCAAATCCTGTCATTAAGGACCACACATTCTAGCAGAGGCGAGATGGACAGTAAGCATGATGAGTAAGTTAGGTGGCCATGATGCAATTTTAAATAGAGCAGGCAAGCAAAGTGAGGCCTGAGCAAAGAGTAGAGGAAGATGAGCAAGTCATGTGTGGGTCTAGGTGAAATGCATTCCAGGCCAAGGGCAGCAGCGCGCCCTGCAGGTGCGTGGGGCAACAAAGAGACTGGCATGGCTGGAGGAGACTGGGCAAGGGGCCGAGCAGCAGGGCAAAAACGGGCTCCAGGTACTACAGGGTTGTCTCATAGGTGATCTTGAGATTGAGCTTTTACCCCTGTGAAATGGGGAACCACTGGAGGGTTTTGATCAGAAGAGTGGCCTGACATATTTAAAAGAAACTGGATTATGGAGGAGGACTCACTCATGGACAGAAAGACCAATAATCCAGGTGAAAGATGATGCTGGGCTGGGCCTGGATGGGAGCAGCAGAGCTGGTGAGAAGTAGACAGGTCTAGACGTGTTTGAAACACAGAGCCAACGGATCTTCTTAAAATGATTGTTGACGAATCAAACTGAGTTAATGTGCTTAAGAATACTGTCTCTTTCTGTGAGTCTGTAAACGTTTCAGTGTATTATCTCATGTGATCCTTACAACAATGTTGCAATGTGGGAGGGAGGAGCAGCCCCATTCCCAGCACAGAGAGGTGAACTGATTCTCCCAGCGCCACACAGCCTGGAAATCGGCTGAACTGGGGCACTCAGCGCCTCAGTCCCCTGACTCCTTTTCTAGTCTTGCCTTCTTGTCCACTTGCTGCCTTTGGACTTGAGCTCTTTTAAGATTCTCACTCTATTTTCTGAGCTACTGATGAGCCATTCCCATCTTTAATGGCTTTACTCATATCCATGCAAACCTCAAAACACACAGATTTAACAAGGACAAATGGGGAAGTCTACAGTGCTGGAGGGAAGACTTTTCTGACTCCCAGGCCCTGAACCCCCTCCCTCTGCCTGTCCCCTCCTGCTCCACTTCTCTGCTCCCTCCGACCCTGTGAGTCTGGGCTGAATTCAATTATTCCTCGCACTCTCATTACAGTCTGACCAAGATTTATGAGTTGATAATTGTCTGAAAGTAAGACCACAAAGTATCATTTGTGTTTGGGGCTAACCTTCCCGGTGACCTTTAGGATTAAAGGCAAAATGAAAAGTGTGATTTCTGCAGAGCCAAACAGGGTAACGTGATCCAAACCGGCTAATAATCCAAAGCCTCGGATTTCCCTGGTTGAGGACATATTAAAGCTGGGCACAAAGGTGGACAACTAATCCTGCAGGTTCATTTCACAAATTAATTTTTTTAAGGCATCACAACCTCCCTCCCTCACTTTGGGGTGCATTCTGAGTGACGTTTTCCAAACAGGATGATGACAACAGCTCACACCTCTGAGGCCTTTATTGGATTATTTTTACAGGCCATTTAAAAACACTTTTTTGAGAGGTCCTAATTGAAAACAGACCTCTCCCCTTGCTTGGGTTAGCGAAGAGAGCATCACTGGGGGTGAGAGGAAAATGAATTCATGGAAACCTTCCCAGATCGGTGGGTGAGACTTGACACTCACTTCCCTGAAGCACAGCACACGCACAGTAATGGCCCTTCCTGATAGCTCTTCCTCTCGTGCACCAGCTATTCAGAGACAAAACTGCAAAGAAAACACTCACTCCTCGAGACTCAATATAAAGCTTCCAGCCAGCCTGAAACATTTGTGAGGCATTTGTGGTTCCCTGTTGGGAGTGTGTAATACTGTGTCATTCTGAGTTAGAAGGCCACTTCCTAAGGGAAGAGGGGCTGTTGGCCTGTGTCCCATGCAGTGAATCATAAAATGAAAAGGCCTAGTAAATATGAAACTGTGATAATGTCTTCCCTCTGCTCAGGCGGCCTCGATTTTTAGTTCAATACACGTCTATTGCACCAAGCACTGTGCTGGGTCCTCTGAAAAAAAAAAAAAAAAAATCTCGTAAAACCTCAAGGAGCTCACAGGCTGGAATGTTCTTTCACAGGGAAGCCAGGACCCAGAGCTGTGCTCAGGCTGGGCTACAGGGGCTGGACCAGGGGCTGGGGTTGGGCATAGCTTGGGCTGACTTGCAGTTGCTGGCCTTGAAGAAAGGAGAAGCAAAGTCATTGTGATTGGAGGAAGGAGATTCAGGGAGCAAGTATAGCTCTCAGTATCAGCTCCAATGGGTTGGATACACGAAAGAGGGGGTAAAAACCGGACTGGGGCTTCAAGAGTGTGGGGACTATATTTGTATTTTCTCCCAGTGTATTCACAGTGCATCTGGTTCACCAAAGGTAAGATCAACCATTGCTTAACTCAACAAACTGCTTTCTCCCTTTGTAGGCAATTGTGGTGATATCTCTAGATGCATATATTATTTTGCACCAACTATTTGAGCATTGCCTGGGAAACATGTATTTATTCCACATTGAAGTATTTCTTCATGTATTGTTTGCCTTCTCTATGACATCGTAAACGAGCCCCACACACATGTGTACCTGTACCGCATAGCAGGTACAACCACAGGCTCCTCTGCAGTTAGGCTGCCTGCTGCATCTGTAAAATGGAGCTGTCAGTAGTGAGATCAACTACGTAAAGCACTTAACACTGTACCTGGTCTATGTTACGTGCTCAATAAACTTGAGCAATTATCGTGATTAGTCACTAGTACATGTGAGCAGTGTAGGTCTCACTGATATCTGTGACACATTCCAAAACCCTCTTCACTTGTTCCTGACCTATTCTTTTTTTAAAACAGGACCTGACCCCAGCCCTGTTCTGATCTGCACCTCCTTTGTGAAGTCTGCCTTCGGTTCCTTTGGTCTGGTGTTAGGACTTTACCTCTTACGTGTCCGGCTTTCAGCTCTCTGTAAATATTGGCTTGGCCTATTCCTGTATTTCTTACCATTCCAGATGGCTTCAAGTAAGCTGTCAATTCGCATCTGGCCTCTTGAATTGCCACCTGCAATCCCTATTCTGACACTAGTGCACTGGTCAGCCCTCTGTCCAAGTGAGGTCCACCCGGTGGTGCACTGGAGTGGATTGCAATTGCCCATGAGAGCTGTCTGTTAAAAGTTGCAGAGATTTTGTAAGCTGGTTGTCAAACATAGCCATTATTAAAAATTAAATGGTATCGATTCTCAATTAAATAAAATATATTTTAAACAGAGTTAATAAATACACAAAAACCATTGGCTCCAAATTATTTTATTTTATTTTGAGACAGAGTCTCGCTCTGTCACCAGGCTGGAGTCAGTGGTGCGGTCTTGGCTCACTGCAACCTATGCCACCCAGGTTCAAGCAATCCTCCTGCCTCAGCCTCTCGAGTAGCTGGGACTACAGGCACACACCATCATGCCTGCCTAATTTTTGTATTTTTAGTAGAGACAGGGTTTCACCATGTTGGCCAGGCTGTTCTCAAATTCCTGACCTTGTGATCCTCCCGCCTCGGACTCCCAGAGTGCTACAATTACAGGTGTGAGCCACCACGCCCAGACCGTTTTATTTTACCAGGAACTATACTCTGGGGGTGATTTTATCGATGTGTGGCAGAAGGACTATGGAATGGCGAGCTACTTGTGCATCTCTTCTGTTCCGTGTGGTCATGTTGGCAGCTTGAAATTTATCAAGTGGGAAGCATTTACATCAAAGAAATTGGTAAGAGCTGCAAATTAGGGCTTCTCCTGAACAGCTGTTTATTAAACACTGACCAGAACACCCCCGGTTCAGCTCTCCCAATGTGGCATAGGAGGCTGCTCAGGCTTCAGACAAACACAGTGGCTGCAATTAGTGGTGTAGCAGAGTGTCCCTTACTGGAATGTGACCAGGTTGAGGGTGGTCATTCATCTTGGGTCCAAACTTCCTCTTTCTCTATGCTGCCCTGTCCCCAGCCTATTTGTAGAATAAAACTTTGGATGTGAATTTACAAAGAAAATGGCTTCTGGTAACATCTGCCAAGATCCCTTTCTGGGGATCTTAACAGCGTGACAGGTAGAGAAAGGTGAATGACAGGGAAGACTGTCGTCCCATCCTCACTACTGGAACTGGAGGGAGCTGGTGTTTGGTTGGGGCGGAGTTTTCCAGGACACGTAGGGACTAATCTACACCCACACATCTTGTGCCAGGCAATTTCCATCAGCAAGAATTATCTTTTTGAAATGGAGTAGGGGCGAGAGAGAGAGAGAGAAAAAAAGAGAGAAATAGAGAGAGTGTGTGTGTTAGTTGTGTAGACAGAAAAAAGACTCATACTGTTGGACTGTAGGAGGGAGAAGGTCAAGGGAGGGTAGACTAGCTGTTTAAATATTGCTTAAGGATGCTAAACACGTCTCGAAGTTAGAGTTTTTGGTGATCAGACTATCAGTATAAATGTTTGCATTTAAAGCTTTTGCCTGATGCCTGCATTGGAATGTCTAAATAGTGCACACCAGCTCCTTGTAACTGGAAATAATAAATAATAATAATAATAATAATAAATAGCCCTGGGTTTGGTGCATTCATAAATTTCATATAATGGTAACTAGTTAACACTTTTCAAAAGGTCCAAGGAAACAGCCAGGATGACCCTTCACATTTAAAGCTCAGCTTCCCACATTTTATAATTAAACTGCCTTCCAGGTGACTTATGACCTGGGGTTTTTCTTTTTTCCTAATAGACTGCCTTGGCATCTTGTAGGGCTTGACTGTTAACCTGGGTGTCTGCCTTTTGGGAATAATCCCGAGTTCTGGAGAATAAAAAGCCATCGCTTGTGCTTATGCAAAAGCAGACTTTCAAATGGGAGACTCTAGCCACCTCACTCCCCAGTAACCTGAGCCACATCATTAGGAACAGCTGTGTTAGGAATGTCACAGGCTGAAGTTTGTGACTTTGGGCACATTAAGACACCAGCAGAGATGAAACTGCTCTTCAGTTGGAAAGTTGTCTCCTAACATGCAGTTTGGGACAACTGGGATCTTTAGGGCAATCGAACTGAATTTGTTTAAAAAATTGCCTCAAGCATGCTGTTGGCTTTATTTCTAAAATAGTCAATTGAATCATGTAGCTACAGACTGTGGACACATGTCCTATGCCTGTAGGTTTCCTTGCTAAGTCAGAACCAGGCATTAAAGTACCTTAATGAAAATTAATGCACATTTACTGTTATTTCTATTTAAAATAATAATGATGCAAGCAAACGTGATTTTATGTATTATATATATTATATACTTATTATGGTACATTGCTATAAGCCAGGCAGCCCAGCATACTCTAAAAATTTAATATGTATAATATCATTTAGTCCTACATAAGCTGAGTGTTGTTACTATCATTCTCATTTTGCTTTTTTTTTGAGACAGAGTCTTGCTCTGTCACCCAGCCTGGAGTGCAGTGGCACAATCTCTGCTCACTGCAGCCTCCACCTCCTGAGTTTAAGCCATTCTCATGTCTCAGCCTCCTGACTAGCTGAGTAGCTCAGCCTCCCGAGCAGCTGGGATTATAGGTCCCTCCCACCATGCCTGGCTAACTTTTGTATTTTTAGTAGAGATGGGGTTGCACCATGTTACCCAGACTGGTCATGATCATTTTCATTTTTATCAGGGAGGAAAACGGAGGCTTAGTGACGTTGAGTAACTCACCCAAGATCACACAGCTACTAGGTAGCTAAGTCAGACTTGAAACCATGGCAGGGTGGTGAGGGAAGAGGGTAGATGTGGAAGGAGAAGCAGAAGATACCCAGCACAAAGTACATTGCCTATAAGAAGAGCAGACACCGTTTTCAGGAAACTTGTGTTTCAATTATACGTATATAATTTGTATGTATTGGGTTACTATATAAAATGTATTTCTTACTGTGGATAGCAGTAAAAAAAGTTTGAAGAACAATTTAAAAGCCAGCAGGGACTGACAGGGGTGAGGTTGTTTAAGGAGACAAGTGACTAGGCGACTAGATCACACTGCAGATGTGCCATATAGGGTGATCAGCTGACTGCTTTGTGTAAGTGGGTTGAAGATGGATGTGGGACGGAACCAAGGTCAGGCAGGTGAGTTAGGAATGGCTGTAGTTGTCCAAATGGTGGTTGGTTTCTTTCCAGTCACGGGAATATTGTCTGCTGTACATTTAAAAATTCTGGCCTATTCCAGGCTGGGTGCGGTGGCTCATGCCTGTGATCCCAGCACTTTGGGTGGCCAAGGCGGGTAGATTACCTGAGGTCAGGAGTTTGAGACCAGCCTGGCCATCATGGCAATACACCATCTCTACTAAAAATACAAAAATGAACTGGGTATGGTTGTGTGCACCTGTAGACTCAGCTGCTTGGGAGGCTGAGGCAAGAGAATTGCTTGAACCTAGGAGGCAGAGTTTGCAATGAGCTGAGATCGAGCCTTTCCACTACTCCAGCTTGGGTGACAAAGTGACACTCTGTCTCAAGAAAGAAAAATATCTGGCCTACTCTGTTCTGCTGAGAGGCAGGATGGCATGAGGAACGAGCATGAACCCCAGCCAGGTGGTGCTGGGCAAGGTCTCTAGCTTCTGTCTGTCTTAGCTTCCTCATCTGCACGATGGGGATAATAATCGTACCTGCTTGTGGGCTTATTGTGAAGATTAATTAGGTCTGAACATTTAAGTCCCTAGACCAGGCTCACTACACGTTGCCTAATATAATTTTGAGATTGACAGGTATATGGCCGTGTTACAATGATGGATTCATCTATTTGTTGCCTATTCAGAAGCTATTTACTGAATGCCCATAGTGAGCCTGGAATTGTGCCAGGCCGGGAGATACAGGTCAATGGAGGAGACAAATGGTGATGCTATAACAATAATAAAAATAAAATAATCATAAGGACCACTGACATTTGTGTAGGGTGACTAGATTGTTAGCTCCATGAGGACGTGGCTTTTTGCTTGCTGTTTTCATTCATTGCTCTAGTTTTAGCAATCAGAGCAGTGCCTGGCACATGGTAAACATTTATTGTTAGATAAATATGCCAGCCACTATTCTAAACAGGTGTATATGTAACAATCACCCCATTTCACAATTACCCTATGCGGTACAGACTGTTATATTCCTATTGTGGAACTGAGATAGGTGAGCCCAAAGTCACTCATTCAGTAAGAGCTGACCCACAGCAGCTGATGGCCAAGGTTCCTGCTCCATGCAGAAGAGATACTGCCTTAAATACCTGAAGATGTCCTGTGACACCCTGTTTAGGGCACAGCTGTTACACAGAAGGGCTCCACTGTGTGTTACTGTGTTTGGATCTGAGCTACAGCAATTGGGGAGGATCCCAACACACAGTTCCACTCTGGGTTGTCTGCCTTTGAGACAAAATAAACATCTCAGGGCTATCTTTTTGTATACACCTGTTTTCCAAAGCACTCCAATCCATCAAACGATGTATCAGGCATTTACCATGCACCCTGCACTGTGTCAAAAACTGTGGGAGAATGGGAAAATGAGATGGAGCTTGTGCTTTCCAATTCCACAGAATCTATCTGAGGAGAAAGGGCTTGCCTGCAAGGGGAGACTACGAAAGACATTAGGGGCTTTGTGAAGAGCTGTAGGAGCTCCGAAGTGGAGGGGCCTGGGCCACCTGGGGGGTAGGTGAAGGTCTGAGACAGAGCTTGGAATCGTACATCTCGCATGGGGCCAAGATACGCATGAGGCTGGGGGCGGTGGCTCACGCCTGTAATCCCAGCACTTTGGGAGGCCGAAGCAGGTGGATCACGAGGTCCAGAGTTCAAGATCAGCCTGGCCAACATGGTGAAACTCTATCTCTACTAAAAATACAAAGTAGCTGGGTGTGGTGGCTCATGCCTGTAATCCCAGCTACTTGGGAGGCTGAGGGAGGAGAATCGCTTGAACCGGGACCCACAAGGCGGAGGCTGCAATGAGTCAAGATCGCACCACTGCACTCCAGCCTGGGCTACAGAGCAAGACTCCATCTCAAAAAAGAAAAAAAAGAGTTTCACGAAACCCCCTCTCTACACAACCTCATCGAGCAGCTGCCTGTTCTCCTCCTAGCCACTGGTTTCCATTGCCCAGGGATTCTCATGTCATCTCTGCAGGCTTTGCCTCCTCTAAAGTTCTTTCTTACCAGCTGCAGCCTGCTCTCTGGTAGGTTTTGGTTGACAGGATGACTTAGAAAGGGAATGGAGAAAGAGAAGCTGGCAGGGAGGTAGAAGGCTGGAGGGGCAGCAGCGTTTGATGGCTGTGAACCCTCCTTGACTGAGGAGTGGATTTCCCGGATGATAGCAAATGTGAGCTAATGTCTGCGCTAAGCCATGTGTCTTTGAAAAAGAACTGTTAAGGATATTTTCCCTTCTTATTACACTCACTAATGTCCTCACCAAAATAACAAGTCCTGAAGGCTTGCATCTGCTGGGAAACTGTATCCTCTGCGACCACGTTCTGATGGAAGTTCATCTGGAGTTTGCCCTGCGCTGGGGAAGCCTGCCTCGTCTCAATTCTTTGTGTTTTTCCTGGACAAAGGAGAGAACTGTGTTTGCTCCTTTATAAGTCTGAGAAGCCCCCTTCGTGGGTCAGGCCCCAGCTTGACACTTTGCTGGGTGGGGGACTCACCTGAGATGTCTTCTCCTCCTGTGAACCCTGGGAAGCCCCAGCTGTGCCGAGAGCAAGTTGCTGAGTGGTTTGTTTTGGTTCATGGAGCTGACCCACCA